CCTTCCTGAAAATAAAAAAGATCCAGCTTTCAAGCAGTTGTCTGTATCCTTGCACCGGAGCTCTCCCAGCAGGAAAATCGAATCCTCAGAAGAAAGGCATTTTTCAAGCCTTTCAACACCAGTAAGAAGAGGTTAATTCACTTTAAATGCCTTGTTCCAAGCTTGGGTAGCCAGGATTTGATTGAATGGTGATTGAATGGTGCTTCAAGAACTCTTAATCTGTCATGAATTACTGGTAGCCCTCGACAGTTCATTTAGTGGCCGATCAAATTCAGGTGCTTGGCAACTGACTCATACTTGTGATGGTTGTAGGGTCCATGGGCGCGGGGTGTGTGTGTAATATGATCCCCTTTTCTGACCTTCTGGCAAGCAAAGTCAATGAGGCAGCCAGATTTCCTTAATAGCCATGTTACTAATTGAACATTTGCAGTGATTCAGTTAACAACTGTGACAAATGTCTCACTTAGCAACATATTGTGGTCGTAAATTGAGGACTCCCTATATATTCCAGTGCAGTCAGCTGAATTTATAAAAGGGTTGGAGGTCGGTGCAAAGTGGGGACAAGTATTGCCTGAATCCTTTCTTTTCCTAGCTCCCACATGTTCATCTAGAACAGAGATCTCCAAACTTAGCAACTTTAAGACTTGTGGACTTTAACTTCCAGAATTCAGGCTTGTTGAATAAGACTTGTAGACTTTAATTTCCAGACTTCAACTTCCAGCATAGCTGGCTGGAGAATTCTGGGAGTTGAAGTCCACAAGTTTTAAAGTTGCCAAGTTTGGGGACCCCGATCTAGAAGGCTAAACTAAGGAACAACATTTTATTTGAACTTGAATTCAGTTTTTCATATGACTCAGGACCTTAATAAAGAACAGTGACAGATTAGATAAAGATAATAAGAGTTGTTTAAAGGCATCATACTCCAATCAGTGATTACAGGAGAAATTTTGTTTAATGAGAAAAGATAGTAGACAGTTGAAACAGGACAGACAAAGAATATAAGTACAATGATTTGAATTGAGATGAAATAAATAAAATAAAATTAAGAAAGTTAAAAGAGGGGAGAAGCTATGTAGAAAATGTAGAATAGTAATAAGATATGGAATGGAATATAAAAATGAGCATGAACTTGAATTTGTGTCTGTACGAAGAGATGTAACCCGGGATTATGCTGCTTTCAAAAAAGATGTTTTACTTGTATTTCTTTTCTTTTTGTGAAAACTCAAATAAAACTGATTAAAAAAAAAGATAATAAGAGTTGGAAGGAACCTTGTAGGTCATCTAGTCCAATCCCCCGCCCAAGTGGGAGACCCTACACCATTTCTGACAAATGGCAGTCCAATCTCTTCTTGAAGGTCTCAAGTGATGGCGCTCCCACAACTTCCAAGGGCAAGCTGTTCCATTGATTAATTGTTCTCACTGTCAGAAAGTTTCTCCTTATTTCCAGGTTAAATCTCTCCTTGTTCAGTTTCCATCCATTATTTCCTTGTCTGGCCTACAGGCGCTTTAGAAAATACAGAGTGGAATCTCTCAACCTTAGCAAGTTTAATATGTGTGGACTTCAACTCCAGCATTCCCCAGCCAACAGGTTTATCAGACTGTTACAATACAATCTGTAGCCATAACAATTATGCGTGTAATAGATTAGAGAGTAATTTCTTCGGTAAAAAAGATGGCGTAAGAATGAAAGAAATGTCAGAATACTTTATGGGATTATAAGTTTAGTTGATCGGGGTCATAGACCAATTGGAAACAAATTCAAAATGAAAACATCAGATTCCCAATAGTGAGTAGTAAGCAAGAGTATACGGTACTATATTGGGAATATTTTCATGACAGAGTCTCAGCCGGTCCTTGAGTATTGAAGATTTGTCCTGAAATGAATACCAACTCCATCTCCTTTGTAGTGCAATGATGGTTTATTCATTAGATCAGCAAACAACAAATACTCTTATCTGACAAGAAAGGCTAAAAGCCAGGCAAGGTTAGCGTTGGGTTTGAGTTTGCTCCCTTTTATCACCATTATCATGAGACACACCCCACCACACCCAGGCCTATACACAGTTCTAATTCTGGCCACGCCTAAACCATTAACCCTAAATGCTATTAACCCTATAACATGTCTACATCCCTAACCTATTCCGACCCTCACTAGCTGATCCCCACCTGTTACCACCTTCACCATGTTTAACCTAAGGCTTACTTACCACCTATATGTGCCCCAACCCCCTCTAACAATATGCACCACAATACATGAAAAGAGCCATTTCTAGCCCCGCGGTTGCTTCAGGCTCCATCCTTCAGCCCCGCAGTTGCTTCCGAATCCATCCGGCAGCGACTCTCAACCCCATCGGCCAGCATACAAGCAGAAATATAGATCCAGCAGCAGCAGAGGTAAGGTGACATTCTCCACGGCCGGCTGACTTGCTCCGAGGTGGGTTCGGAGCTGATGGGCTCTGTCGCGAGCTCGGAGCCCGACACAGAGTAATTAAGTGAATTAAAAAAATAAGACAGACTAAGAGTAACTTTATGGTGAGGGTGCTATTTTTATCAGTTATATATATTTTTTTCTTTCAGCAAAACTGGTGATACAAAGAAAAATAACACGGTGTGCAAAGAAGAGAAGGATGAGAAGAAAAATGAAAGCAAACCTGAGAAGAAAAACAATGAGGAGTAAGTGCTATTAAATTTCTACACAGAACGATCTTCTCTTAAAATGCATTACTGTCCAAGCCAGTTTATAGACAAGATCTTTTGGTTCTGATGTTATTCTACGGAATTAGTTCAGACAAGAAGCACATCAAAGAACACTAGCTCTACCTTTATAGTAAGATTATATTAATAGAATTCCACAAGTCCCAAAGCCCACGCCTTTCCTTTAATTTCTCCAGAAATTTAGGGAAGCCTTCTGATTTGCTGAGGGACGCGGTGTTTTAGCCACTGAGCCTGTCGGTCAGAAAGATCAGCAGTTTGGCAGTTCGAATCCCTAGCACCACATAACGAAGTGAGCTCCCGTTCCTTGTCCCAGCTTCTGCCAACCTAGCAGTTTGAAAGTATGCAAAAATGCAAGTAGAAAAATAAGGACTACCTTTGGTGGGAAGGTAACAGCGTTCCGTGCGCCTTCGGCATTTAATCATGCCGGCCACATGACCACGGAGACGTCTTCGGACAGCGCTGGCTCTTCGGCTTTATAACGGAGATGAACACTGCCCCCTAGAGCTGGCATGTGTGCTTGCCTGCCACTTGCACAGAACCATCTCCACTCCTGACCCCCAGCGGTCCGCAAAACTGGAAAGATTAGGGAATTCTGTTTTAGTTCAGCTCCCCAGCTATAACATAGATGATGCTATTGATTAGGAGGCAGGCAGCCTGCTGCTAGGTCCTGATGGGACTTACTCACTACTCACAAGTGACTCCAACTGGGATGTTTCGTCATGCTTATTTGCACCCACATTAGTTAGGAAGGCAATGCTAGCAAGCAACATCTGGAAAGCAGAAGGTTTTCCAGTGTCCTCCATGCCTCAATCTGCAGATATTTTAGCCTTCTCCTTGGACTGTGACATGATGGACAATTGAAAGGGGTAGGACTGGGGAATAGAGTGGGGCAGTTCTCATGTCTTGACATCATCCACTTTGGGGTTTTGAGAGAGGACAATCTGACTCTTACCCCGGAATTAAACCAGTGGTCGCCAACCGGTGGGCAGGGGACCACTGGTGGGCCGCGAGGAAATTTTGGTGGTTCGCAGAGAAATGTCACCCCCAAAGAACCCCCCAGAAAAAACAATTAATCCAGGCTGCACGGGAACACAAGGCTGCACTGCCCACATGGCCCACCCACCCACCGGCCCCCACCCTCGGCTGAGTGCCAACCTTACCTTGAGTAGAGCCATGTGAGCTGGAACTGGAAGGTAAGACCAACAGCGGGGGAGGGAAATCCGCCCTGGGGTGGCTTGCTGACGTTAGTGGGAAAGTCGGTCCCATATTCCAGAGCTGCAGTAGTCACAAGACTTTGGTCATCTTGGAGCAGCTCCTCCAGTCCATGGCAGGCCGGTACACCCGGGTGGAGGAGCAGCTGGTCCGGGATGACCAAAGGGCCAGTCCTGTGACTACTGCAGCTCTGGAATATGGGACCGACTCCCACCAACGTCAGCAAGCCACCGTCAGTCAAAATTCATATTAGTGGTCTGCGGGATTTAAAATTATGAGTTTGGTGGTCCCTGAGATCCAAAAGGTTGGCGACTCCTGTTCTATACCAATGTTATATGGCAGATATATCCCAGGGCAGTAGCTCTTTTGAATTCTGCTGTATAGTGCAGTGTTGGTGTGGTGTCTCGGGTTTCTGGTTCAATGTGTGAAGGGTGAAGGATATGTGTTTGTGTTTATTTTCATGATCATGATGTGCACTGAAGTTGGTGTTTGATTTCGTTGTACGATGTGCAATGACAATAAAGTAAAGTAAGTAAGTAAGTAGATAACTACCTATGTCTTGGCATCCAAACGGAACAACTGTCTACTTTCTTTTTGCAACACCTTGAGCCAAAGTTAAATTGTAGAGATTTCTAAGAAAGAGTTGATTTAGTGAAATCATTCCTGTTTCAAGTTGGGCCACCATTTTGTATGAATGGTTAAAGGGTGAATGGATAATTGTTCCTTCTGGTTACCTCTTCAGGGGGAAAAAAGAAATATTTGTCATTGATCCTTCTGGAAACCTTTATTACCATTGGCTGTTCTGCATCACATTGCCTGTCATGTACAACTGGACAATGATCATCGCTAGGTATTGTAATATTATACAAAAAATGACCATATTAGAAGTGTTGCAGTATCTTAAGCTCAGCTTCCCAACTTGGCATCATCCAACTCTCTTGAGCTTCGACTCCCATAATTGTTAACCATCAAAGCAATTGATTGCTTTAAACAGAGAAAGAACTTCTTTCTTTCTTAATCTTTATTTTTAATTCTTGTTGCATTCTTTGAAACTGTTTTCACCTGTCAGCCACCCAGAGTTGTTGGGAATCATGTGGCCTGCACATTTAATAAATAAATAAGCAGAAAATATGATCCATAACAAAGTTGATCTAATTAAATTCATTGAGAAAATATTGGTTGTCCAGGGTTGTGGGTTAAGAAACATCTGTGAACAATGGAGTTCTTGGCAAAATAATAGCATAACATAGTGTAAAATATGTATCATTCTCCAGTCTGCAATACGGGAATAAGGATATTCACGTAAGAATACTTAACAGCCATACTGATGGCTGCTGACAAAATGTACGTACACTCTTCAAATGTACGTACACTCTTCAAAGTTTCCAAAAGTGTTTTATACATTGTCATTTGCCAAACATTCAGACTTTTAAATTAGGAAATGAATATCTGTGTATTATAGATTTGAATGTGCGGTTGATTTAACCTTAGGAGATAGCTGATTTCCATAATGATGTAACACCCCAAGTTTCAAGGAAGGTTAATTTAAAAAGGAATAGAGATTTATCCAAGGTTTTTATTTAGCATTTGAAGCTGATATGGGCTTGTGAATATAGTAAGTGAAATCTATAAGCCCCAATGTCGTATTGATACTAATATTCAAATACAAATATTGATTTTTATAAATGTTAAGTAATGCCTGCTAAGCCTTTTGCTGGATGTGAATTTAATCATTTGTCACTTGATGGGGCTATTAACATACATCCAAAGGTTTCAAACAATCTCAGATGGTCTCATTAATTATCTTGGTTGCTCTTCTCTGCACTCTTTCTAGAGTCTCAGCAGCTTTTTTATAGTGTGGTGACCAAAACCGGATGCAGTATTTTAGGTGTGTCCTTACTAAGGCTTTATAGAGTGGTATTAGTACCTCCCTTGATCTTGATTCAATCCCTGTGTTAATGCAATTTAGAATTACATTGGCTTTTTTGGTTGCCGCCACATACTACTGACTCATATTTAATTGATTGTCCACTAGGACTCCAAAATTAACTGCAGCTTTTACTAAAATTTGTTAGTTGAAAAAGGTGCTAACGTAGACTAACACTGTTCTTCCTATTATGCTACAATAGACCTGAACTTTGTTGCTGTCAATTTTTTCTGCAAAACAGGAGAAATTTTCAGGGATACGCAAATCTTCATTTACTTTAGCAGATAAAGTAGAACGACTACGCTACGCAATCGAATGTTGTGGCCCATTAACTTTGCAGTTGTGACTCCTCTCCAGAATGTCTTCCTTAAAATGCCACGCAATCTCACCTCAGTTCCACCAAAACGAATAGCTACTGTGGTTGTTGATGATATTTAATGCTTAATTTTAAATTTCTGGTGTCATTTGTTCTTACTCAGGGCCTGTTTTGATGAACTTAATCATAACAATTTAGAAATGTGGTTGATTTTGGACTATTCTGCAGATTTTATTTATATTGCTGACATGTTTGTGCGGACCAGGACAGGTAAGAGTGTGTTCTATTGTCTCTGTTGCACCCTTAAAAAATTGGTACAATCATACACTCAACTTATGACCACCAGTGAGCCCAACATTTCTGTTGCTAAGCGAGGCAGTTGTTAAATGAGTCCCACCTCATTTTACGACCTTTTCTTGCCACAATTAAGCAAATCATTGCAGTTGCTAAATGAATCATTGCAGCCATTAGGGAAATCTGGTTTTTCTCATTGACTTTGATTGTTGGAAGCCAGCTAGGAAGATTCCAGATGGTGATCACATGACTCCTGGACAGTGCAACTGTCATAAATATAGAGGTAGTCCTCAACTTGCAACAGTTCACTTAGTGACTGTCCAAAGTTACAACGGCACTGAAAACAGTGACTTATGACTTATTCACTGTTGCAGAATTCCACATGATCACATGATTTACATTCAGATGCTTGACAACTGCCTCACATATATGACGGTTGCAGTGTCCCAGGGTGAGGTGATCACTGTTTACCACATTCTGATAAACAAAGTCACTGGGGAAATCAGATTCACTTAACAACCTGATTACTAATTTAACAACTGCAGTGATTCACTTAACAAATGTGGCAAGAAAAGTTTTGAAATGGGGCCAAACTCACCTAACAAATTTCTCACTTAGCAACATAAATTTTGGGCTCAATTTTGGTCATAACTTGAGGACTACCCGTAATGCCAATTGCCAAGTACTTGTACCTTTTCCCTCCCTATCTAAATTACAGTAGAACTTTCGACTTTTACCAAGAACGAGAAATACTTTAATCATTCTCTTTTTTAAAAAAATAACATTTAAGATGTATTTTATGAGGGAATTTTTAAAGTTAGCTAGATCCAGAATTCCCTTCCTTACCAAAAAAAAGATCACCCAGTTTTATTCAGTGGTTAAGGCACTGAAACTTGGATACTAGTTTCAGTGCTTTAACCACTGGCTAGAAATTAGGAGACAGTGATTTCTAGTCCCACTCTAAACATGAAAGCCAGTTGGGTAACTTTTTGGACCAGTCATTCTCTCTCAACCCAACCTACCTCACACAGTTGCTGTTTTGGGGAAAATAGGAGGAAGCAGTATTAGGTATGTTCACAATTTTCAGTATTTAAAAAAATATTAAGGTAGGAATAAATACATCTCATAAATTTCAGATCCTCATTTTTTAATTTCTGGGGATGATTATCTTAACTATCCATAACATTTAATGTCTAAATTAAGAAATAGGCGGTCTTCCAAATTCCCTCACAGATAGCACTTCAAGTATTCCTGATGATCACAAATCCTAGTTTGAAAGAGGTGTTCGTTTGTTTTTGGTTTTGAAATGTATGGGAAAACTGTAAGCCCTGCATAAAAATGTAAAAGCAGTGTTTGTGCATGATTTTATATAATGAACAATCACATTAAGAAGTTAATTTAGAATTTTAAGTGTGATAAAGCTTCATGGAAGTTCACTGTACTAACTCAAGTATCATTATTATTATTGAATTTATATTGCTGCCTATTCGTCTATGGTGACTCAAGGCGGCTTATAAAATATATATTGGAGAAAAAAGATGATAAATTTCTAAATGTTGGTTTGGTTCTTCACAATTTAGTTTTAAATGTGAACTGGAAAGGTTCAAAATTCTGACTACTTGCAAAGATGATAAAGATACCTATAGTTATAGATAATGGTTTAGCAATCACTTCTGTTTCCCTTTTGTCATCGATGCAAAGATGATAGAAATACCTCTCTAGTTATAGATAATGGTTTAGTAATCACTTTTGTTTCCCTTTTGTCGTTGATTAAAAATAGATTCGTACCATAAAAAGTTGCTTACATTTTGCTTCAGGTTATTTGGAGCAAGGCTTGTTGGTGAAAGAAAAATCTAAGCTCAAGAAAAGATACAAGGAAACGTCACAATTCAAATTAGATCTGCTGTCCATCATGCCAACTGATCTACTTTACTTCCAATTTGGACTGAATTACCCAGAAATAAGAATAAACAGATTGCTTAGAATATCACGCATGTTTGAATTCTTCCAGCAAACAGAAACGAGAACAAGTTATCCAAATATCTTCAGAATCTCTAACCTTGTCATGTACATTATAATTATCATCCACTGGAACGCTTGTATGTATTTCTCCCTCTCAAAAGCGATCGGCTTTGGAACTGACTCATGGGTCTACCCCAATATTTCTCATCCTGAATTTGGCAGGCTCGCTAGAAAATATGTGTATAGCCTTTACTGGTCAACACTGACTTTGACAACTATTGGTGAAACACCGCCTCCTGTTCAAGATACTGAGTATTGGTTTGTTGTTGTTGACTTCCTGGTCGGTGTATTAATCTTTGCTACTATTGTTGGTAATATTGGTTCTATGATCTCTAATATGAATGCTGCCCGGGAGGAATTTCAAGCAAAGATTGATGCTATCAAGCAGTACATGCAGTTTCGTAATGTGAGCAAAGATTTAGAAAAACGGGTTATCAAGTGGTTTGATTATTTGTGGACAAACAAGAAGGCCGTAAACGAAAGAGAAGTCTTGAAATATCTTCCAGATAAATTACGAGCCGAAATTGCTATTAATGTTCATTTGGAGACATTAAAAAAAGTCCAGATTTTTTCAGACTGCGAAGCCGGTCTATTAGTTGAGCTGGTCCTGAAACTACAACCTCAGGTATATAGTCCTGGAGATTATATCTGCCGGAAAGGTGATATTGGGCGAGAAATGTACATTATCAAAGAAGGGAAACTGGCAGTGGTAGCTGATGATGGAGTAACTCAGTTTGTGGTTCTTAGTGATGGCAGCTATTTTGGAGAGATTAGCATCCTTAACATTAAAGGTAGCAAAGCTGGAAATAGAAGGACAGCTAATATTAGAAGTCTTGGCTATTCAGATTTGTTTTGTCTGCATAAAGATGACCTGATGGAAGCTTTAATAGAATATCCAGAGGCAAAAACCTTGTTGGAAGAAAAGGGAAAGCAGATCCTTATGAAAGATGGACTACTGGATTTAGAGCAAGCAAACATGAAAAGAGACACAGAAAACCTCGAGCAAAAAGTTAGCCAAATAGAAGGAATGCTAGATAATTTACAAACAAGGTTTGCTAAACTTTTAGCTGAATATAGTGCTGCACAGCAGAAACTGAAAATAAGGTTAAGACAAGTCGAGACTATAGTGAAACCATCCCTAGAGTATGATTTTTCAGACTTAGAAGAATTGCAGAGCACTTCTGGTCATTAAGGATTTGAAAAAATCATTTCAGATATTCATACTTGAGGATAAATTAATAAATGATGGGCAGAATTATGTTAGATATTTCATTGGACATGGGAAACTATTCATGACAACTATGTTTGTTTTTTTCTGGGCAGTATATGATTTTTAAATAAACCATGTTCAATAGACATGTCTAAGAACTTAAATTTTGTCTCTAGGAAACATGTCAATGCCATCATATACTGTGGTTCAGAATTTCATGGTTCAACTTGGAAAAAGGAATTAATGAAGGATTCGTAGGTTATATTCTAAATTTTGTCTGTATAATCCATCTAGAAAGAAACATTTCCCAGCTACTCAGTAGCTATTGTGAGTTTACAATTGATAGATGTTGCTAAACCATCTGATCATATTAGATTCATGAGTCAGAGAACAACCTTGTTATCATAATTATCCAGAAAATTCAAAGTAGTTTCTGTGATGTGGAAATATTTCCACAAGAAAAATCTGCACTGCTAGTAACAATGTTATTTATGAAGAATTGTTCTAGTTGTACTGACTGTAAGCAATTCATCATAAATTAAAGTATCTGTTGGATAAACAGACAGAATTTTTACCATGAGAGTTATTCTTTTTGATTATCAGTGTTTTAAAGCAAAGTATATTTCTGTGGCAACCAGATGATACAAATGAAATGACAGCAAGCCCTGCTGTCAAATTATAAGACTCAGTAATGGAGAAGATGCCTAATTGAGGAATCCAGAATGAAGATGTAAAATGTAGTACAGGCACGAAACCTTTCATGAAGATTCCTTGAAAAAAGGAGGAGGAGGAGGAGGAAGAGGAGGAGGAGGAGGAGGAGGAGGAGGAGGAGGAGGAGGAGAAGAAGAAGAAGAAAAGAAGAAGAAGAAGAAGAAGAAGAAGAAGAAGAAGAAGAAGAAGAACGACAACAACAACAACTTTATTGTCATTGTACAAGTACAATGAAACTGTGGATGCACCCCAGCAACTGTTCACGATACAATAAAACCAGAGCACTTAAAAATGAAGATTAAAAAAAAAATAGAGTACCTGCGTCTCCATTTGCAATTTGAGAGTACAATATTTACGAATATACACAAAATATACATCCAACACTGACTGTGACGCTTTGCCGAGTGTAATACACAAGAGATGGATTGTATTGTAATACGTTATTATACATCTGAATGAGGTATTGCGATTTCACATCTTTTCACATCTTAATAAGGTAAGTGACTTTGTATTTATTTGCGGTTCAGATGGCCCAGAGAAAGAAACTATTTGTTAATCTAGTGGTGTGGGATTTTATTGACCTAAAGCGCCGTCCAGACGGCAGCAGGTCAAAAAGATAATTGCCAGGGTGTGAGGGGTCTTCTATGATGGCCTTGATTCTGCTTTGGCAGCAGGACCTGGCTAAGTCTTCAGGGAGGGCAGAGGGCAACCAATGATCTTTTGAGCTGTGTTTATCACCCTCTGTAGTTTTCCTGTCCTCAGCTGAGGAGCCTGCATACCACACACCCAGACAGTATGTCAGAGTGCTCTGCACAAAGGCTTTATAGAAAGCCAGCAACAGCTTCTTATCCAGATTGTTTTTCCTGAGAACCCGCAGGAAGTGCAGCCGCTGCTGAGCCTTCTTCACTATGGCCTTGGTGTTAGGGGACCAGGAGATATCAGCTGAAATATGGATGCCAAGGAATCTGATTGTAGGAACAGTTTCCACTCGTTCTCCGTTGATGTTGAGTGGGGCGTGGTCTTGTCCATGTTTCCTGAAGTCCATAATCAGTTCTTTGGTTTTATGGACATTCAGTGACAGATTGTTCTGTGAACACCAGACAGACAGGTTCTCTATTTCTGCCCTATATGCCGTCTCATCCTCTCTGGAGATGAGACCAATCACGGTCGTGTCATCTGCAAACTTTATGATGGTGTTTGTTGCGTGGCTTGGTGAGCAGTCAAAGGTATACAAGGCATATAGGACGGGGCTCAAGACACAACCCTGGGGGGAACCAGTACTGAGTGTAATAGTGGAAGAAGGGTGGGGGCCAAGTCTAACAGACTGTGGTCTGTTTGTCAAAAAGTTCTTAGTCCAGGAGCACGTGGGGGTGGGGACCTGCAGATTATACAGTTTGGTTATTAGTATATCTGGGATGATAAGTGTTAAACGCAGAGTTGTAGTCCACAAAGAGCATCCTCACATAGCTCTGTTTGTTCTCCAGATGACTCGGCGCTCTATGAAGTGTGATGGCCACAGCATCCTCTGTAGATCGGTTTGCTCTATAAGCAAACTGATGTTGATCAAAGGAGGGTGGGAGGCAGTCTCTGATGTGTTGTGAAAGTCGTCGCTCAAAAACCTTCATAATGGAGCTTGTTAACAATATGGGCCTATAGTCATTGAGAGTGTTTATATTTGGGTTTTTTGGGGAACAGGGATGATGGTTGCAGCCTTCACGCATTGTGGGATGATGGCATGTGTTAAAGATAGATTGAACAGCTCTTAAGTATTTCTGCCAATTGGTCAGCACACGCTTTAACTACTCCACCAGGAATGCCATCAGGCCCTGCAGCTTTCCTGGGATTTACTGCTCTCAGTGTTTTTCTCACCTCATGCACCTGAAGAGTGCAAGGCAGAGCTCTGCTCAGCTTGGATCAGTAAAAAAATAGCTATCAAAAAATAACACACACTAACCAAGTGTTCCATTGCAAAGCAGGAAACAAACTTCTTACAAATGGAGCTGTGTAAGAAGAGCATTATTCAGAAACAGCCAATAGACACAACCACATGGCGTCACCATAGAACACAAACAAATTAAAAATCCTCAAAAACATCTTAGTTTAACCAAAATATTCAACAACTCCAAGAAGAAAAAGCAGTCATCTACAAAATATAGTTTAATGATAGTAGCAGTCATTATGTAGGTCATTGTGCAAAGGTGGTCCTAGCTATAGCAGTCACGTATGCATTGAGGCTGGTGCAAGTCTAGAGAGACCTGGAAATTGTGTGCAATTCTAACAGGGACAAACACAACCTCCTTCAGAAAGAGAGAGATTTGGAAAATCTCCAGGAACTATTTTTCAAAAGGCAACTAGACTTTCTGGTTTTTCTTTGAAGATGTTTTGCTTGTCATCCCAGAAGCTTCTTCAGCTGTGACTAGATGGTGGGGAACGGAAAGAATGATCCTTCCATTCCCCACCACCCAGTCAGAGCTAAAGAAGCTTCTTGGATGAGAAGTGAAACGTCTTCAAAAGAAAAAAAAATGAGAAAGTCCAGTTGCCTCTTGAAAAAAACTACCTTTGGGACAAAACCATGCCCTGGATGATTGAGAATCTTCATAGACATCTCCAGGAGCTAGAGATACCCACAGCCATTCCATTTTGCTGTGGATGAACCTGTTTTTCTCCCATCCAGATTCCCTCGGCCTCCGGACACTGAGATTCAACCTTGATCACATCACTAGTGACCAGAGCTGAGACATAAGCAGAGTAAGATCAGCATATTGATGATACCCAGCCCTGTATCTCTGGATAGCCTTCTCCCAGCTGCTTCATGTAGATGTTAAACGAGTGAATGTACTTGTGAAAGAAAATGGATAGACAACTGAAACATTGTTTTTACCAGACTGCTTTAACATCCTATTTCTGTGCCAGTGTGGAAAGGGAACTTCACGAGGACAGTGGTGTCACCCAAGCAGGAAAAGCCCAAAGG